CCCCAAAACCCCAAAACCCCAAAACCCCAAAACCCCAAAACCCCAAAACCCCAAAAACTATTTAAATGAACTAATAACTGGTGACTTAATTAATTATTTCAAGATATTAGTTAAAAGATGAAAAGCAGAGTCGAGATGTTGAACGATTCTCTTGTGGAAACAGAGCATTTCCAGAAGAATATAGGTAAGCAACTTTATTGAAGTCAATAACACATCCCATAGTCCTCCCCTACTTCAAGGATATCTATAAAGACCTCGCAAGTAGATCTGAGAACCCAGAAAAAGGCATTGAGAAGATTAATTTATTACAATATTGTGAACTTCCAGGAGTTTATGGTGACAGGATTTTCGCCATCCTCGATACAGATGGCTCAGGTTTCATAGAACTAAAAGAGTTCTTAGTAGGCTTCTTCCGTGTGTATTGCTCTGATTTCGAAACCAACATGAAGCTCGCCTTCGAATTCTACGATTTTGACAAAGATGGCTTCATCACTGAAGATGATGTCTCGCTTGTCCTTTCTTATGCTGACATCCATACCCAGAACGAGGAAGTTGATGAAGAAGAAGCTAAGTATGCTAGAAGGAAGTCTCAAAGCCCTAGAACGCATGACTTCAAAGATAGAATAGAGAACCAAAAGGAAATCGGAAAAATCATTGAAACAATGTTCAAAAAGAAAGATAAACTCAACTATAAGGAGTTTAAGGACTTCAACACCAGCAAATCCTCAGAAACCATCCTCTGTGTGTTGAAGGCCCTCAAGCAGAACATTCCTTGTACTGATAACTTCTATAAGTATCTAAAAGATTACAGAAAAGATATGGGTGCAAGAAGTGCAAGTCCTCCTGAAAATATGACTAGCTCCCCTATAGCCAACCCTAACTCCAAAACATTCAAGGCTACATCACCCTCATCAGGTGACATAAAGAATAAGTCCTTCCTCTGGAATGCTGCTAAGAAGATAAAAAGCCCAGATGCTTCAACAAAACATGATTCATCAATTCCCACAAAAGAAGAACTCGAAGAAAATGTTGCCAAGAATGCCACTAAGCTGAAGAACCCTAAGGATCATCGCAAGGAGAGACTCTTGAGGCAGGCCACCATCAAGGAAGAGGATAAGGAGAAGGACGTCTCCTCAAAGGCTATCAGGATGAAGAACCGCACTAAACTTAGAATTGACTCCAAAGCAGCTGAGGAAAGTGGATCCTTCACCACTGAGATTATGTCTCCCACATCATACCTCTCTAAAGGCGAGACTGTCTCTAAGATATGCGTCTGTGGAAGGAACGACCTCGAAGAAGGAAAAGATTACTGCTTCGAGTGAGAAGAAAACCAAGGTCATGAAGCCATTAGCGGTTATATGTACAGGAAGACCAAGGATAAATCAAGAATTAAGAAATATTTCTACAAGATTATTGGGACTGAGATGTACTCCTTCAAGAGCGAAGAGTCTAAATCCCATAAGACCATGCACTCGATGTTAGGAGTCTATATCTCCGAAGAACCTAGCGAGAAGATGAGTGATTCTAATGGTAAAAACTTGACCCTCTACCCTATTAAACTAGTCTTCCCACACAAATACAGAATGTACTACTTCCTCAATGATGAAGAGAAGGCTGACTGGGTTAAGGCCCTCAGAGGAGCTGCTGGCTACAGATCAGTATCTGATTACTATGATGTCTCCAAGAAGGTCCTCGGCAAAGGAAAATTCGGAATCGTGAAGCTAGCAGAACACAAGAAGACTGGTAAAGAAGTCGCCATTAAAATGGTGTCAAAAACCCAGATGAGCCCAGAAGACCTAGAGCTTCAAAGGAATGAGATAGAGATCCTAAAGGTTTGCCAACACCCAAGCATCATCAGGTTGCTAGACATTTTTGAGAATGAGACAGATATTTATTTAGTAATGGAGTATATGAAAGGTGGTGACTTATTCGATTATCTACAGAGAAGAGATTTCACTGTTCCTGAATCCTTAGCCTGTAACTTCGCCCATCAAATCGCTACTGCAATCTTCTACCTCCATTCCTACGGAGTAGCTCATAGAGACCTGAAGCCAGAGAATATCATCGTTAGTGATGACTCTGAGCATCCAGAAATCAAAATAACCGATTTTGGTCTTAGTAAAATAGTAGGTCCAAAAGAGACTAGTAAAGAGCCATTTGGGACCCTAAGTTATGCAGCACCAGAGATTCTACAAGGTCTCCAGTACAACAAAGCTGTTGATATCTGGAGTTTCGGAATCATTGTCTTCCTGATTTTAAGCGGATGCTTGCCATTTGATGATGATGACGACAAATTGACTGCTCACAACACCGTCTACAAAGACCCAGATCTTTACGGTGACCACATGAAAGGCGTCTCAAAGGAGGCAATCTCACTAATTAAAGCCTGACTTGAGAAGAAGCCAGACGAAAGGATCAAGATCATGAAGATCTTGGAGCACAAGTGGTTCTCGAGCGCTAACAAAGAGCTTACTGCTCTCAGAAAGGGAGCAGATAAAGCAGGTGAAGCCTTTAAAGCGTACACTTCAAGTCTTCACTACAAATCAGATGAAGATTCAGATAATTAATCATTAGAAATATAAAATTATATGGTGAATTTTTCTATACAAATAGCCCAAACCGGGGTTTTGGGGTTTTGGGGTTTTGGGGTTTTGGGGTTTTGGGG